AGAAACAATTATCGTTTTAATGGACATAAAAATAAGAAATATAATAGAGGAACAGTGTACCGTAATAGAAATGTTAATTTTAACCTGTGCACACCGCACCGGAGAGAATAATATTTAAATACAAGATGAAAACGGCGACCTGAGGGTCATTCAAAATATGGTTTAGCATGATTATACTCTTTATTGGTGAACTTTGATTTATTGAATTCAGTTGAACGGTTGGCATAAAATTTAAATAAAACAAATGATTTCGGTGTGCATTGCTCGCTCGGTATCGGTCAGCATACTTTGAAGTTTATAACCGTGGGAGGACATGGACATTGGGTATATCGATTAATCGAGCCAGATATCTTTGAGTTTATTCAAATATAAATCGAAACGTATAGTTTCATAATACATTTTTTGGCACATTTTGTTTCCTTAAAATTTAAATCATAAATTAACAACGTTGTATTCAAAGTTTGTGACTAAAATAATTAATCGATTAAATTATACATAAGTTACTTTAATAGTAACATATGTGTAAATATACAACAAACATTCGAAAAACTATTCATATTGTGAATACGATTTATAGATTAATAATTTTGGTAGTTAGTAAATGATGAATTTTTTCTTACATATTAAAATTAGATAAACGTAAAAAAAATTATGGCCAATTACACATAAGTACATGTGTATACTACTATTACAGTCACTAGAAATTAAATACAGCTATTAAGTAATTCTTTATATAATCATTAATTAAAAAGATAGTACACTAAAATGTTTTAAATTATAAATTGATGACATATTTTATTAATTTATTTTTTTAATGGCTAAGTTCATGTGTTAAATTAACTAGAATTATTGGAGTGTTTGAAATAGTTAATTAAAACTATTATATAAAGTATAATTTACCGATACTCAACGATTTTTGCATACGACAAAATATGATGTTACAACATTTAATTAAGAATTTAATATTGTTATTAACAATTTACTACGTTATTTTTGCCTAATGCTTAGTGTTTCTTTAAAATCTATTATATTTTGTAATATGAGGTTTATAAAAAGCATATAACTTATTCTAAGATTAGTAAAATGTATTTAAGTTAATAGAACATTAATTTAATAACAACAATTTATGCATATAAAAAGAATTTGACTTATTTAATATATAAATAATTATAAACTAAAAAATGCAAGTGCATAGTATCGTATTATTTAGAAATAAACCAAGTTAGGATTTTTTTATTTATATAATATGATACAAGGAAACTGTTAAATGGTAACTAAAGTAAAAAAATAAATAAATTGCTATAATTAGTTTCAAATATTGCCTTTGGTAATTTGTACTTATTGTACTAATACGTATTTAAAGGTATTCGATAAAACAGGTATTATGAAAAAGTTGAGTTTCTTGGATTGTTTTCAACTTTTAATTCATTGTCTATCGCTATACATCGTATTTGTGTAAATTATTTAAAAGTCGTTATGTTGATAATAGTTGTAAAACAAAACTCATAATTTGAATGGAATATTTAATATTTACAAACACATTGATTTAATTCAAAAAGGTAGGTAACAATAATTCAATAGCATAACTGCAATTCGTAATATTATAATACCAGACAAAATGCATACAAAAAAACATGCTTATGATAGTTGATTAAAACAGTACAATAGGTATATGATAGTATATAGTCGCATGAAATTATCATAACAAACGCACACGTGTTACAAAAACAACAGTGTTTCCTTACAACATTATAATTATAAATTACTAATTTAAAATAATAATTATATTAATAAACAATACGTAGTGCTTAAAGCGGCTAAAACATAAGACTAAAGTGGACTCCATAAACTGGTTGATTACGCTTAAAATAATAAATAAGTACTTGTTACGTACATTGTATCAGTTCCTTATGTCGACAATGTAACTATCTGGAATGTGGGATGAACTTTACGTGTTATTATGATTTTGAATTCTGAGTGAGGCGAGTTATATTAGATGAACATTAACTTTTCAAAAAGTACTGAAAAGACACAACAATAAGAGTATAACATTAAGCAGTCATACTACGTAATATTTAATTCAAATCATTATAAGTACCATATAGTTATTGATAGTATAAAAATATGCAATACTATGCATGGTATAAAATTACATCGATAAATTTATATTTATTATTAAGTTACTTGTACATGAGTTTGGACGTAATTGCAGCTTAAGATCTACGCGAGAGTTCTTTTTGTTATTTATTTGAATTTTATATCCAATAATAACGTTTCAAATTTTCGTTAGATCGATCGAAAATGAAAATTTTATTTTAATATAATTAAAATTTATAATTCTTACTGGACGATAAAGTTGTCACAAACGTTATTCAAGCCGTTGTATTGTTATTACGACGCGCTAACATTTCTTCATTCCACCGCGTGCGCACAAGACGTATAATTATTTCCGAATCAAACGAGCCATCTAATGGACCGCCATTGCCCTCGGGGGTATTCAACAGAGTTTTACACGTCGATCGTATACATTTTTTTTTACCCTAAATTACCATAATCGTTCCGCACTCTGAGAACTTTAAGAGAACGTACAAACAATTTTAATCCGAAAATTATCTAAAGTTCAAAACGACCGTGAACCGTATTGGACATAATTAAATAGTAATACCGAGGTACACCGTATTTTATTTAGCAATCGACTACAGTATAGTTTTTGTAATTTATAATAATAAGTAAAACAAAACATTATGTTCCGAAAAAATGTATTAGGGTTAGCAAAACTTAACAATGCGTGATTCACAATATTATTGCACCAATTAGTTTTAGTACCTTTATTAATATAAAATATGCTGTGATAATATTAGCAAAGAATAATAATTTAAAAAATGAGCTAAAATTCTAATTATATTAGTTCACATTAATTTTAAGTCAACAATTTTAAGGTTCTTAAAAAAAAATTGATTACCTAATTATAAGTCCAATCATTAACGAGTATTATTACCTATTAATAATTTTAAAAAAAACCGTTTATTCAATACAAAATTTATTTATTTAAATGTATATACATATTATCTATATCATTATATAAATTGTTTTATATTATTAAATACGTCTTGTATATAATATAAGATACAACTATGAAATAATGTAAATGCTGTACATATATGAGTATATTATCTTTAACCATAATAAAACCTTTCGTTATTTTTTTTACGATGAACAATAATTGCTATAATTGTAATAGTATATTTTACATATATTTTATCATCATAGGTCTAGGCATTGGTTCAAGTTTAACATACAATGTAAGAACTACGGTACATCATAAAATATTTGATGGGTTACTAAACGATTATATAAAGTTTCAAGTTTGAATTATTTGTAAACGCAGTTTATTATAAATCGTACTCTCGCATTTTGAAAAAAAATATATTTATTATGTTTTTATCTTTTTTGAAAAACATTTAACCGTATCGCTATTTTTTCCCCAAACAAAACTTAAGATATTTAAGAAAACGAGTTAAGTGTTTTTATTTATTTATTTTTTTTTTTTTTAACTAAAAATTAGTACGAAACATAGTTATATTTAATAATATAATGGAAATATTATTACGAATAAAACAGTATTAAATTTAAATCAGTATTTAAGCTTAAGCAAGAATTATTTAATGAAGACAAAATTGAAAAATAAATGTACTAAACAATTTATACAAAAATGTTATAAGTTACTGAATATCAAAAATCAAGCCATGTAAATCGTGATTTAAGATCGTTGATTAGGTAAGTACCCTATATGAATTATTTATATAAATATTTCAACTACTTAATTGCTTATATAAGTAATTTAATTTATAAATAATTTATTGATACATGATGGACAAAGATTAAATATAAAACACGGGTCACTTATTAATCCTTATGTTCAACTTCAAGTAATAAAACTTAGTATATTTTTTTTTTGAAACGATTTTACTATTTCTATTGTGCGTGCTACAACGTATGAAATGTATTTACTTCTTCCTTATGTGTTATAACAAAAAATGTATTTTGTACAAAATAATTGAGTTTTCTTCAAAGTTTCATATTGAAGATGATAAATTTCATGATTATAACTGACTGAAATAAATGATTATTGTAATATTTTGATATGACTAATATACTTCATAATAATCTGTACTTATTATAAAAATTATTCATTATTAAACATTTTATTTACATAAATATAGTATTAATGTATAGCCTACTAAACTAACTAGATATAAAATATTGGACTCAAATTTTAGACCATTTACCAAATCCTAAGTAGTTTTTAACTTTTAGTGATTAGTTCCTGTGGACAACACCTAAACTCGACATTAATATTTTAGATTCAAGTTTAGATGTTTAGGAATGCTAAAACCATAGCCATTTGGTGAATGGTTTATGGATGCAACAAGTAAAAATTATATACATATATTTTTTAAGTAAATTCAATATTAAACTAAATAGTATTATAAATAACAAACTAAATAATTTACGTTAAACATCGCATCGATATAGTTGGTGTTGTGTAAGAAAATAATCGTATTAATACTCAGGATGTTATAGATGTGATTACCTTTTACCAAGTATTTGTGAGTAGGTACTAGGTAAATGTATAGGAGTGTAGTGTATTAAAAATGTTTAGATGGCATACATAAAATATTAAGCTCTCAGGTTCATGGGATCCGAATAAAGTCTATTACGTAAGGTATTAAGCTCCAACTGAACTAATTCGTTCGTCACCCGAAATTTCGCTATTTACACTAACAAAAAAATAAAATAAAACCGGACACATTTGCAGTACATTTAACATACTCATCTACTACTACTACTTTCAGTGGCAATTTGCAGGAGATATTTAAGGCGAAATCGACTGCGATTACTATCTACCCGAAACCAAAAAGTTAAACGAATAAAAATATAATATTATTGACGTAACGCAATATTAGTAATAGCGGTTTTTTTTTCTAGATGACGCTGACCTGATGATCCATATGTGGCGTGCGGAAAATTGCGTACGATAATCGGAAGCATCACGCCCGAAGACATGTGCAATCCTTGGTTGAGCACGTGCACCGCGAACGATACGGCCACAATGATCCAGCCCCATCCGCCTTCCGGGTAGTAGTGCTGCTTAAGGGTGGGCACTTCGGTTTTTACCACTACCGGGCACAGGACCTCGCTGCAACTGGGCAGGTCGCTGCATGTCGCCAGTCCGGAGTCCAGATCAGGATCCATGTGTGCCGCCACCGTCACTACAACTACCTACGTCGCCACGGGATGCACGTGCCGCCACTGCGGCGGCGGCTATACGGTCCCGTGCCGGTCTTTGTCGTCGTCACCGACGCCACTGCTATCGCTCGACGACCGACTGCAATACGTAACTCGTAAACACTCGCGTTCAAAGAGGCTGGGAGTCGTGAAAGAGGGGGTGTTACGCCAAGAAAACCAAATCCACGGTAAAAATAAACAGTTTTTCGCGTTCGATTGAAACGAACAGAACACGGGTTGTTTTTTTTTTTTACCACATAAGATTACCGACGTTATAATTAACGTTGTTACTAATCCAACACCGTCGCATTTAAATTAGAACGTACGAGTTTATGGCACGGAATCCGCATGCGTTGCTCTCCGATTTTTACCGTGGATATAATTATTCTAGGTGCATAAGACACTACACCTACGTCGTAACGCGCACGGCATTGTGTTTTGAATAGTTGATCGCTAAATATTTTTATGACGTGTGCACGACCTGATCATAACGAAACTCGGGGATTGATCTGTTTTCAGCTAACCAAATTCAAGAATTAAAAGATATTCAACCTGGGGGCGTGTATTGAAACATAATTATTGTTATCCTCTTGGACCCTGATCATATAGTCTTCGTTTTACCCGTAAAACCTGTTTAAGGTTCTTTTTTATATACATTTTTATTTATTTATTTATTTTTTTGTAATACGTTGTACGTACCTACATAAAATGTACTATGCACGTACATAACCAATTTTCAAAAAAATATAGCAAATTAACTAATTACGGATAGACCAGAAATATTATTACGGTTGTTTGTTCCGACAAAAATCAACAAGGTGTACGTAAAATGTCATAAAAAATTTATTTTTACAAAAATTGTCTACATGTATTTAAACGAATTAAAATGAAATATTAACATAGTTTTAAAAAGTTTAATCGATGTTAAAATTCATTCTAATAGTATCTAACGATTTCTTGTTTTTATTGATAGATTAATTATTTGAAATATAAATTGTATTAACTATTTAATGGTAATGTGTATATTAAATTAATTTATGTTTAATGAAATCGTTTTATAAACGAATCAATTTCTTTAACATGAACGTTAATGTTTTTACATGAAATATAATCTTAAACTAGATTCTAGATTTTAAAGTAAATGTTTAATAAATGTTGATATAAAATAACCTAAATAATGCGTTAGTTTCACAAAACTATTAACACATTTTTTGAATACATTATTCGTTTTGTTTCTTTTTTTTTTTTTTTAATAATTAATTATTCGAGAAAATTGCACGTGAATACTAAATCAGGTTAACACAGCCACACGGATTCGGAAAAAAAATACCATATGGCAGACAGATACAGATCATAGGACCCGGTTTAGAAAAAAAAAACCGATTAAAAAAAAAAAATAATAATAATAAGAAAATTGGCCAAATCAATGTACGCACGTAAACCGTAAGAAGGACGGATGGCTAAGAAATAAAACCGGATTGGAATTGCGGAACGGCCTGAACGGATCGGGTAAAAATCTAAAAATGAAGCACATCGTGCACACGTGGTGTCGTTGGTTTTAAAAACAGAATAAAGAAAAAAAAATCGCTGATTACCTCATGGGTACAGAAGCGATAGGAATGCTTTACGCCAAATCCATTTGTACCGGGCGGTGTATTACGTTCGCTTGAGTATTTTAGGTTTTTTTTCTTTATTTTTTTTTTTTTTTAACTTTTTTCACGTGAACCGCAACGATTAGCGAAATAATATACAGGAACAACTACTGACGAGCGTCGTAATTTTTTAAATTAAATATTTAAACGTATTTCGAAAAACGAAAAAAAAAAAAATACGCACGTTTCGCGGGCGAGTTCAACTGTGTGGCCCACTGCTGATGCGCACTCGTGACCGGCAGGGCGAACGCGCGACGGCAGTGTAATCGAGACTGGAGTGTTGCTCACTGGTTTCGAGCTTCGGACGGCGGCAGCAGCGACGGCGGCGGCGGCGGCGGCGGCGGCGGCGGTACAACCCTCACCATCATCCGTGGGACGGGTATTACGAGCTTGATTCGGGGGGGAAACGGATAACCGTGTGCGATAATTATAATCGTCGAGTCCGTCGGTCGAACGTATGCGTGCGCGGGTGTGCGTTCGTTTTTGAAATACAACCGAACGTTCGAGGTGTCGAGCGACAAATCGCGATGCAACGTGCAAAAGGAACGAGAATCTGTTCCACTGGAGTCCGACCCCTCGATCCTCTCGAGGTCGTGTGCGACCACTGCAGTGGCTTTTCACCGGTACCAATTTTGTCGAATAAAATATTAACTTTCTACGAACGATCGTCCAGAACAGTTTTGCGAGTGTATCTTAAACCCTACGATAGCTGGTTATTACGAACATTGGGCCACGAGTTATCTTCGCTAAATGTGATGATGTTCAATTGATTACTATTTGAACTAATATACATTATAACATTCAACTTTTAAAAATAGCGATTTCCAATTTTTGTTTTCAGTATTTTTTCCAACTTTTTTTTTTTTTGATCACTGTGCACTAGCTTCTCGTGGAATCGTACCGATGCAGTCGCGTTACTGCGCTCGTGCCTTACAATGTTATCGCGGTTATCAGTCACATCGGAACGGTTGAAACGTCTACGGTAGGAGCTTGTCTACGGTAAACGGTAATTGAAACGATAGCACTACGAGACGACCTTTACGTTTGTAAAAAAAATAAAAAAAATGGAACATACAGGTCGGGATACTGAAAAACTGGGTGTGAGACGCTCTTGCGTCGCACCGTCGATCACTTTAACGCAATCCAATAATGTATTACTGTTTTAGAATTTAAAAAACGTAGCGTATTGTAGTATATTTTGAAAATGATTCTTAGAGGGTTTCGGTTTGCCGTTCAAAATACTATTTTATACGCTAATAGAGGGTAGCGTGAAAAGTGTGAAAACCCTAACGAGCAATCTCATGAGTACTACAACTCTTATAAAAACTTAGTTGCAAATAAAAATAAAAATCTTCGACCACATAATATAAAATAAAATTTTATAAAATCAAATCAAATGTTGGATAAATTATCTGTATGATTTGAAGGTTACATTTTTTAAATTAAAAGCAAAAACAAATTATCATATACGAAAAATGGTACGAGTGAAGCTGTGAATATTAGAAACTACTTGTAAAAAATAACAAGTCAAGATTTTGAAATAATTTCTATATAAATATTTTAAAGAAAATTAATTTAACACAAATTTATCAATATTAACATTAATACACCAGTTAGATAATTCATCAAGAATAGTAATAGTAATAAGAATACTGATTTTGATTGAATAACATAATTCGTTAATTCTTGAAACTGTATCTCTTTAAAGGTAAAAAATTATATTATCATAATTTTTAATAATCAGATAATTTTTTGATTTTTCAACATTTATTAAAATTTTCTGTATTTATGTTCTATGGCATTAATAACATTAACACAATTAAAAATCTAGGTAAATGCAAGCCAAGTGTAATCCCAAGTTTCATTTCAAGTGTAGTACTATTAATGTACTTTATTTGAGCCTATTTTATTTATACGGCAATAATAGTATAATAAGAATCAATGATAATATGTCATTAAAATATGATTATCATTGGCTATTGGTTTAATATAGGTTTTAGGAACTTTAAAATTCAAATATTCAAAAATATTTGTGAAAATAATTTATTTTGGCATTAATGAATAAATAGCCATAAATTGATTTACCCAAATCAATTTATAATAAGTGGTAAAATAGTAATTTGTAAAATTGGTTTGTTTTTATAATTTACATTTTATATGAACATCGTTTCGTGAAGAGCGTTATTTCTAATTTATTAGAAAATTTATATTTTGATTTGTGTGAAATTATTAAAAGATATAAAAATATAAAATAACATTTAAAATTTGTAATAAACCTATTTCACGGATTATAATTATTAACATAATCGTTATAAGGTATTATAATAAACATCTCAATTCCTTTATAAAATGTTAATTTTTTTAATCATGCATGCCTATCATTAAGCTCAGATAATATTTTGATTGTTGGTGATAGCTTTTTTTTTACATTTACATGTTTCATGCCGTAGTAGATTGAATGATATAGTAAAATAATTATTATTATTAATTTGTCTATTCTACATCTTAAAGCAGAGTTCTGAATTTCCATATATAATTGTAGCTCTTTAGACGTGTTTGTTGTGTTAGTTAAAGAAGTAAATCAAATGGCAATAGGATATTGCTTCTATGCAATACATCATTTATATTGTACATTACTCCGCCTTAAATGTCAATCATGTGAAATTAAATTAATACGTCTTGTAATAATATTCAATGATACCTTTTTTTCTTTTATGAAAAGCAATGTGACTTATAACTGATTGTTTTTATATTTGCTTTGGACATCAATAGTTATTTAATATCGTTTTGGTTTTTGATAAATAAATTATATTCAAACTGCTCAAAAAAAAAAAAATAATAATAATAATAAAAATAGTTTACGCACTATAACGTAGTTAAAATAATTATAGGTGTCTATATAAAATAAGAAATCGTAAAAATATTTGGAATGTATTATTATTTTATAATTAAACGTTAGTTATACTATAAATAATATACACATATGATGCCGCACGTAACAAAAACAAATAAAGTAAAAATTATAAGATTTCGAAGACCCAATATTGATAAAAGAGACGATCGATGGTAATACTTGTTGGGATACGACTATGTACGTACAATAACTACGGTATATATAATAATTCCCCGTTGCATTTATCCCATACATTTGTGCTCAGTAAGAAGAGGTATTTTTAATTAAACTCTTCGAGCACGTATATAAAAACTATAATAAATATGAATGCTTAATTTTCAGCTCGATATTTCTTTCCATCAACTGGAATGTAGAATTAAACTGAAATGTCATCACATGCATAGTAACTAAACGCATAATAGTGTTAAGTGTTTTACAAGTATTTTGTCGAATTATTTATTAAAGTTATAATAATCTTCAATTATAACTGGCCCGGTTTAGCCTAAACTAGTGATGTTGTTTCAATTTTTTTTTTTTTTTTTTTTGTTTACATAATGTACCGATTATTGCAAGAACAAAATGATTTACATAGGATATTTTTTAGTACTTTTATCTTTATTGTTATTATATTATTACAACAGAAGTGATATTAGTATTATATGATTATTAAATTTATGATTCTAAATCGATTTATATAACTTGATCATATTTTACAACTTTTAATGTTGGGTGGAAAAAAATAAAAACCAAGCAATAAAATCAAGTTTCTGAATAGTTGGATTATTGTTTAAAAAATTATGATGTTTATGTATTGAATTGTCTTTAATAAAAATTAGGATTCTAGCGATACCCTAAATTTAAACATTTACAATTTAGAAATAATCTATACATTTTGCATAATCCAAATAATTAGGTGATGGAAATATCTGACATTTTATTGGTGAAGTTGAAAATGTAATAAAAATAGTGATTATTGTGAACTGTGTCGATATTAAATAATCGATAAAAATTTTGTTATACTCTATTCATAATAATTTGTAGTAATGCATACTTAAAAACAAAAATAATTGTTTTGTGTCAAATTTCATTTTACACTTTCAGATATTCAATAAATAAAAATTTTTAAGATATTTAAAATCAGTTAAAAAATAAGAATACCTTATGGTCCATTTGATACTTGATAAAATGCATGACTATTCACTCACCTGAAAAAAATACAAAACAAAGTTAACAAATTGTAAGAACAAAGATTAAATCATTTATATACAAGTTGAATGAATAAAATATGAATGTATTTATGCTATATGACCACAAATTGTTTATTCGACCAAATTAATAAGGTATAATATGTTTAATGGTTCGATGCTATTGATTTGTTGGTCTATCTAATGGTCAAAACGGTTTGCCATAAACAAAAAACCTTTTTCAAGATTAATAAAACCATCTTCTCATTAATCTCGCCCCTTGTCTGCGATTTATAAATTACGTATAGTTTTTTATATCTATATAATTCTTTATTTAATTTCTTCATTCTTTTAATTAAATATTAAGTTACTTTTTTTAAGTACCATTAAAAAAATAATGGTAAAACAAAAAACAATAAGGATTTATTTTTTTGTATTTAATTACAATAACACAATTAAGTTAGAACCAATGATCCTATAAATATTTATTTACACCATGTTGAAGAATTCAATAATTTGTTCAATTTTTCTAATGCACTATAAAATGTTGAACATGTATGAAATTATTTGATCACAGGAAAATTCATTGTAGTGTTAATTGTGTTCAATATATAATGCATTTAAATATACATGTTTTACATATTCTATAAATATAATACAAAAAATAATAACGTATAGTATCACAGAAAACAAATAAATTTTTGCAAATTCGATCATATCATTTACTTTGCAATTAAAATCTTAATAATCTATAAGCTCTAATAAAATATTTTAGTCACTAACTATAACACAATTGAAGTTTGTCTAGGTTTTGAATATCTAAATTCTTGCAAAAATTTTACACATTATTTTATTTTTTACGTATTGTTGTTTAAACTTTGAATCGAAATAAATGTTTATGGTGTACCAAATTAATAAAATACTCAAATCTTTACAATTTCAATATTTAAATTTACAGTAGTTCAGTAAACACTTATTTAAAGTGTGTAAAATTATGAAATAAAATTACCAGTGATATGTATAAAGGTAGGTTCAATAATTATTAATCAAATAAAAGTAACCAATAAATTAGAAATATTATTAAAAACTGTGAACGTAAATTAATTACTGTAATCGTTGAGCTAATATATTTTAAACATATACCAGCAAGTCACGAGTTTCATAAATAATTACATTTGATTAAGTATTATGATTAACAAGCAATGCA